CAGTTTCTGTATGGGATTTGATTTCCTAAGTGAAACAAAAAGCTACAAAATAGCTTAGAGAACAACCTTCCAATGGCATTCAACACCCAAGAGTTCAAACCAACTCTTAACAGGCTAGCCTGAAAAGGCAACTTTGGGTTGCATCTCTGGTCCATTCCAGAAATGAGAACCCACAGACTATCTCCTCCCAGAGCTCTCTCTCTCTCTCTCTCTCTCTCTCTCTCTCTCTCTCTCTCTCTCTCTCTTTGTGTGTGTGTGTGTGTGTGTGTGTGTGTGTGTGTGTGTGTGTGTGTGTAGGGAGGTAGATTTTAGACCCTGCCACAAACACTAAAGCTCCCTCCAGGGAGAAGGCTGTTCTCAAACATGCACCTGAAAGCATCCACTGGCCAGTCTAAGGTCCTATTGTAAAATCAAAGAAGTCTGTCCTTAGTAACTAACTGCTCAAGCAGACAGTCTGACAAACTGTCTTAAATGTCTAGTATGTACTAAGCACACTGAGCTACAGAGATTAGCCAGTTTCTACACTCAAAAAACAACACAGCTTGATGGGGACACTGACAATTAAATAGACAATTGCAACATAGTAATTAGGGTGGTAAAATAGAGTTAAGTGCAGGTAAGATAGATGTCCAATTCAGCCTCTAGAGGCAGAAAGTTCAGACATAATTTCTCAGAAGATGTAATGCTTGAACTTCTTGTCCCTTCCTTGCTGTTGTTATTATTATTATTATTATTATTATTATTATTATTAAAATTTATTGGGGTGACAATGTTAATAAGGTTACATAGGTTTCAGGTGTACAATTCTGTAAAACATCATCTATATGTCACATTGTGTGTTCACCACCAAGAGTCAGTTTTCTTTCCATCACCATATATTTAATCCCTTTTACCCTCATCCACCCCCCCCTCCCCACTTACCTTCTGGTAACCACTAAACTATTGTCTGTGTTTATGAGTTTTTGTTTATTTATTTATCTTGTTCTTTTCAGTTTTATATCCCACATATCAGTGAAATCATCAGATTCTTGACTTTTTCTGTCTGACTTATTTCATTTAGCACAATAATCTCAAAAGCCTTCTCTGTTGTTGCAAATGGCACTATTTCATCTTTTCTTACATCAGAATAGTATTCCATTGTGTATATGTACCACATATTCTTTATCAATCTTTTATCAAAGGACACTTTGACACCTTCCTTGCTGCTTTTTCTTTCAAGTGACTTTGTGCAACCCAAGAGCTTTCCTGTCAAGAAGAGGGGGCCGGAGGAAAACCCTTTACCTGGTCTTATTGCTGGTGGAATGTCCTCTGATACTTTGGTCTAGATAATGCATTTCCAAAGATTTTCACCACTGCAAGCTGTTCTTAAAATCCAAGAATAAATTGATAATGATAGAACTCACCTATTAGGAAGGAAAAATATGGGGTCTATCCTAGAACCCTTAAAATCACACCTCTGGCATGGCTGCTGACATTTATCAGAAGTCACAGCAGACCATGAAATCCCTAACATGGAGCAAGAAGTCTCCTCTAGGACTGAGCTCATTTACCTGACCTGGCCTTGGATTTTGGTAATGGAGACAAGCATCAGGGAAATTCTAACTGCTTGCTGCCCTTTTCAACTACAAAAAAGCGATTTGTAGAAGTGACAGGTACTTCCCTCCTCTGGGAAAGGCAGATAAGCCATGTGTCTCCTGCGTGGACTCCCTAGCAGGTAATTTAACATGGAATCACACTCCCAGAGGAGATAGGTGAACCCTTGATCACCAAGGCCAGGCCTAAAAGGCTGTGGGTTCTAAGATGCAAAGGTGGGTGGGAGCTTAAAGAGGCACCAAAACTGAAATGATTTTCTACTTCAGCCTGGGGAAGATAAATTTCTAAGCAGCATCCCAGGCTAAAGTGTGAATACATGAATACAACACTCCATCTGATGCTGAATTAGCAGCCCCAAAAATTGAGGTTGTCTCTCACTGAGGACTAGGCAATTAGATGGTATTTGAAAGGCAGTATGGTTGGAGTAGAAGGAATATGGGCTATATGTAGTCAGGTAGACTGAGGTTAGAAATCTGCCGCTGCTATTTTTAAATGTGAATTTTTGGATAACAACAAAGCTGCATGTCAGGGTCTTCTGTGAAAAAAAGGAAATCGTATCTGAGTTAGTTAGGGTTATTCAATCAAATACTGGAAACCCAACTAAATTGAATTTCAGATAAACAACAAATAATTTCTAGTATAAGTATGTCCCAAATATTACCTGGAGCATAGTGATACTAAAATCTATTCATTTTCTGTCTGAAATTAAAACTTAATTGGGCATCTTGTGTTTTGATTTGTTAAATCTGACAATCTTAGCATCTAAATGAAAGCAGGCTAATTTAAGCTATAGTAGCATATATCTCTTAAATCTCAACTGCAAATTCCATTAAGCCAGCTATGGATCTCTAAGTGTAGTCCCTGGACCGGCAGCTTCAACCTGACCTCAGAATTTTAGAAATGCCAGGTCTTGGATCTTGTCAGACCCATTGAATCAGAAACTCAGAGATGGCGCCTTACAATTGGCCCTACCTCTCTAGGTGAGTCTGACAGACTAAAACTTGAAAACTACTGCATACTTCTGCAAACTCTCCAAAGGCTCACAATACACCTGTTATGTGGCTCAACAATTCCATTACTAAGAATATGCCACAAGAAATGAATGTATTTTCCACCAAAATGCATATATGGAATTTTTATAATAGCCTTATGCATAATAGCTCAAAGCTGAAACAACCTGAATATCCATCAACAAGAGAATGGATAAATTGTGGTATTTATAACACAGCCATAAGAAAAACAAATTGCCAATATTTGAAACAATCTGAATGAAACTCTCAGACATTATTTTGAGTGAAAAAAATAAGACAAAAGAGAAAATGTTCTATATGGTTTTATTTATATAAATCTCCTAAATCTGGTAAATCTGATCTTTGGCGATACAAATCAGAATAGTAGCTAGTAGGGTATGGGTAGGTGGTTGTATTAACTGGGAAGAAACATGAAGGAAACTTCTGAGGTACAAGAAATGTTTTACATCTAGATGCCATCATGATATGCAGATGTGCTCATCTTTATATATTTATAAATGCATACATTTACGATTGATGCACTCTGTGTATGTTACACCACAAAAAAAAGAAAGAAAAGAAAAGAATAACAAATCTTGGTGGCTAAAACAACAAAAATCCATGTCTCACTCCTACTACATGGTTTTAAAGCTGCCACCTACATAACTTTGCTCAGCCAGTCATATGGCCACACCTACCTTCAAGTAGGTAGAGAAATGTATCCTTCCTGGAGAGAGAGAGAGATAGAGCAACATATTTGTGAAAAATGCTAATGACCTCAACATACCTACTTCTTGGAGTTCTGTGTAATAAACATACTGTCATTTATTCATTCTCTTACTCATTTAATTCAACTAACATTTACTGATTACCTATAATGAAGAAGCCACTTTGTTAGGCAAGTGGGATAAGACAGAATGGTCTTGCTTTTATGGAGTTTATATGAAGTGAAAAAAAATTACAAATACATTTTGTTAATAATTAGAATTTTGATAGCTGTAATGACACCTTGGCCACTGACCCTCCACATTTTCTTCAGGACCTGGTACCTCTCTTCAAATCAGGCAGCACCAGCTGAGGTTTGATTCACACATTTTGAACCATCGTTTCCCATCTTTGACAATGCTTCCGCAGCTCCATGAGTTATCAGCAGCCCCATAGATGAGACAAACTGTCCAAGCCAGTGTTTACAGGAGGATACTGAGATTCTAAACTGCATTTGGCACTGAATGCAGAATTCAGAGTAATTGAGAAGGCACAAGAAAGTCAAACAGGGCTTAATATTCACTTTTGAAAAAGCTTGTAATCCAACCAAATATTTTAGAGAATTGACAAAATTTTTAAGAGTGGAAAGTAAAAAATATGAAGGCAAAAAACCAACAGCAATGACAAAAAGTATCAAAGAGTGAGGGTTTCAAGATAGAAAGTAGCCAGAATAATATTAAAAATATGGAATAGAGGTTCTTAAACTTGACCCTGCATCACAATTACCTGAAGGGCTGTTTACCCAGAGTTCTGATTCAGTACATCCAGACAGGGGTCAAGGACTTTGCATTTTTAATAATTATCAGATGATGTTTATTTTGTTAATCCCTGGACAAACTTTGAGAACTGCTGATCTAAAAGAGGAAAATGTAAAATCTAACTGCTCACACTTTTACTTTGAACAATTTGCCCTTATGGTCAGACATGAAGATGAGAATTTCTGCCTACTACTGCTATGATTTTTCCAAACCCTACCATTAAGATGCAAGGATGTGGTGGCAGTGAAGCCTCTTACACTTTCCTGGGTCTACTTTGTGTCCACTACAGAAACATTGAATTATCTACTCTATTTTTTTTGGATGTAAAGTCAGCTTTATTGCAGATATATATATATTGTAATCAAACTAGGATTGGAGTGGAACTTCCTCTACTTCACTGTAAACATGGTACAATGTTAAAATTCTGCATTTCCAATCAAAATAAGGGAAAGATTATCTACTATTAATGCTACTATTCACACTGTACTTGGTGGTTCTGTCTAATTTGTAAAATGAGATATGGAAAAAAGAGGCAAAATGTTTCAAAGAGCACAAAACTCTGCTTGTACTAAAAAATGATCTGATTGTGCATGTTGAAACTCAAAAGGGATTTAGACATACCTTTTGGAATTAATAAGCAGATTTAGCAAGGTTGCTGGAGAAATACCAATGTACAGATATATCTGTATATACCAGCTCAAACAGAATATAAAATTTCAGAAAACAATATAATTTTCAATAGTATCAAGTACTTTAGAATACATTTAACAAAAGATTGGCAATGTTCATCAGAAAAGCTCTAAAACTTTACTGGGACAATTTTCACAGTCAAATATCCCACATGACGTTTTTCATGGTTTCAGCTCGTCTTCCTTTAGTCCTGTGGTTGCCCTTCCCCTGTGTTGGGGATGCGAATGGTTTCTAGTCTTGGTACAACCTCCTGCTTGACATCAGGACCATCTCTGCCCTCACGGTCAATCTTTGACTGGGCCAATTCCCGGAGATCGTCTTGCGGATCAGGCCCTGCATCTGGCATATAAATGGATTCTAGTTTTGGTAAGATGTCCTCCATGGCATCAGGACCATCTCTGCCCTCATCCCCAGTGTTCGGCTGAGCCAGGTCCTGGACATCAGTTTCTGCTTCTGGCATGTAAATGGATTCTAGTTTTGGTAAGACGTCCTCCATGGCATCAGGACCATCTCTGCCCTCATCCCCGGTGTTCGGCTGAGCCAGGTCCTGGAGTTCAGTTTCAGGGTCAGGTCCTGCTGCTGGCAGTGGAATGGGCTGTAACTTTGCGAAACTTGCTCCTTTGACGTTGTCCTCACGCCCAGTCTTACAGAGAGCCAGTCCCTGGAGTTCAGTTTCTAGGTCAGGATCTGGAACCACAGGTGCTCTTTCATCTTCATTGTCTTGATCAGGTGTAATATCCTGACTTTCAGTTGGTGGCTCCTCTTGTTGTGCTTGATCATCACTGGGTTGCTGGGCAGCCACAGGTGCAACTTGCTCTGAAGACTCTGGATCTTCTACTAGTATTTTCCATTCGAATCGCGATCTCACGTGCTTACTCATACTTCACACCGTTGAGTCTCCAGTAGCAGGAAAGGCTCCACAAGGAAGAAACACCACCGCCTCCGCCCCAGCTCTGGTCGCAGAACGCGGACTACAATGTGCAACTGCTGCCTGCTGCAAGGCGCATGCGCAGCAACGAGCATGCGCATTGACTTCGGGCCCTGCGTTGCCGGTGGACATGTTCCCGCCTGGGCCACAGAGTCTCGAAAGCCCTGCGCCTAGCACAGTCGACAAAAGCAGCTTGATGTATCTTTTTCCTTCCCCTCCAATCTTTCTCATGCTTCCAGAAACTTTCCAGACTGCCCCAGGGTTCCTCTAGTGGAGACTATGTCTCAAACATATGGCCGTGACAGAAATAGACACTAAGGATTGTAAGATCCCTTTTTACCCATGCGGTGATCCATCACTTCCTTCTCTGCATCTGGATGTGTCATGTGAACAGGGCATTTACCCACTTCCATACATTAATTATGTTCACCCCTTTTCTTTGTATTTCTGCGTGCCTTGCTGCACATTTAAATCCCTGGACTGGTAACTGCTTTCTCATGAATATGCCTGTGGTCATTCAGTCAGTGTATGGTTCAGAAATACCCTTCAGTAATGGACCTAGGAAATACTCTCAGTCCACTGTCACATGGTGGACAGCAGTGGTGATCTTGCTCATCCTATGCTCTACTTCCTACCACCCAGCCAAACAACTTGATAAGGGAGATGACGTAATAGCCTAACAGTCAGGGCGAGCACGACCTGCACAGAGCCTTAACAAAAAAATCTCAGGGTGGCAGGGCACGACACATATTTATTCAGATTTTGCAACATGCATTCAAGCAGGTCTTTCAGTGTGGGGGGAGGGTGTGATTAGGTTTGGGTAAGAATGGTGATATAATGGTTTAGTGTTTTTGTGCACACTGCAAGGCAAAGTTTCCAAGACAAATTGTTGAAAGGGTGTAGGGGTTGAAAAATGTCATTTGGCACTGGTTGTTGAAGAGTCGATGTGTCTTTGAGGGAGTTGCTGTAATAAAGAATAAGTTGTTTTCAACTTTTATATCCTTAGGCGAGACAATCCTGGATTTCTAAAGTTTTGTTGATGAAGCCAGTGTGAATAAAAAGTCTTGTAAATGTAGACAGAACCTCTGCACATGCTTCCATTCCTTGGCTTTTACATAGCTTATCAGTTTTGTGTGGGAAGTAGCACCCTCAGCTCCAGCTTGCAGTTTTCGCGACATCCCAAAAAGATGGCCAATGGTAACTGGCCTGGCACAGGGGAGGCCAAGATTACAGGTCCAGCCTGAGGCATTCTGCGGCACTGATCGTTTCGGAAGAGTATCTCCTCTATTCTTACTCATTCTACAGAAGTGCCTTGCTTTGTTTTTGTTTGTTTGCTTGTTTGTTTTTTGGTTTTGTTTTTATAAAGTATTCGTTGGGTTTACAGTACATAGGGCAATCAGCTCTCCAGGACGACAAGGCTGGAGGTGGATCCAGTTATATAGAAGTAGAATGACGCAGAAGGGGTGAACATGGAGACCCTCCTGCAGCAGAAGCTAGGATACTCTAGTGGTGAGAGAGGGAAGGTTAGTGAAATAATGGTGCTAGAAGTAAATAATACCATGGCAATTGTTCCTGCATACAAATATCTTTTTTTCCAAGCCCTTATAATATTTTAATGTATTTTTCCATTAGTCCTAAACAACTGATAAGTTATCACATCATCTTTATAATTATATTCTTTTATGAGAAGATATTTATTGAGACTTTAATGAGTGCCAATCACTAGTACAGATTTTGCCACAATGCTCATAAATGAGGTACATCTATCATAGGGCTATACATTAGAAACATCTAGGTAGTTTACATACGATATCAATATCCCAGATATCTCAGTCATATTTGTTTCCTCCATAGGGAATGTGGGAAAAGGACCCTTAAATTGAAAGAATACTAATTGCCAATTCAATTCTGATAACCTAACTAATATATATATTCATTTTGGAAAAATTGGAAAATTCTGAAAAGTGCACAAAAGTAAATAAAGTTACATCATTCAACACTGTGGATTATTTATTTTAAGTGCAGTCTTTTATCACGTCACTCATTCCCCTATCATCGTACCTCATTGCTTCTCATTTTTGTTCCTCTACATTTGGTTTCAGCCCAGCCTGTTTTTCTAATCTTATCTCTCTCTGCGATCCTGATCAATATGCCATTTTGCTTGTTCTTTGTTCATTATTTCCCTCCTGTTGAAAAGAAAGTTCCCCTCATTGCTTTTAAGCCCAACTCACCTTTCCCCATCCTTTAATGTCCATATCAAATGCCTTTTTTTACTGATGCCTCTTACCTCCACTCCAGCCCAAAGTCAGCACTCAATTTCAAATTCTTTAGGACTTAATACGCCCATTAGGCACTTAAATGAATGCAGTATTGAGTTTGTATTGAACTATGTTATGTGTAAGTGGTACCCTCCTTTTGAATTTTAATTCATCAGAATTATGAATGAGATTTGCTATCACTTCATAGAATTGTCTTTCCACAGTTGTGTCATTTAAAGTTTAATAATTCCTCAAAAGCACTGTGATTGCAGTTTGGTGCCTGGCTTTGAAGGAATAGGCAAATTTAGTTATTCCCATAGACTTTGCTGATCAGAAATAATCATATAAGTTGTTTCAGTGTGTGTGTGTGTGTGTGTGTGTGTGTGTGTGTGTGTGTGTGTTTCCAAGTCCCATCTAGACCAAATATCTCAGAAATTCCAAGTAATGCAGCCTGAGGATCTATTTTAAACAAGAGCCTCCACTGAATATAAAGAAACAAGTTTGGGAACTTCTGGGCTATACATTAGAAACATCTAGGTATTTTACATAAGATATCAATATCCCAGATATCTCAGTCATATTTGTTTCCTCCATAGGGAATGTGGGAAAAGGACCCTTAAATTGAAAGAATACTAATTGCCAATTCAATTCTGATAACCTAAGTAATATATATTCATTTTGGAAAAATTAGAAAATTCTGAAAATTGCACAAAAGTATATAAAGTTACATCATTCAACACTGTGGTTTATTTCATTCTAGCCAGTTTCCTCTGATATTTCAAAGATATATAGAGATGATAGGTAGATAGATAGATATCTAGATAATAGATGATAGATAGATAGATAGATGATTGATAGATATCTTGCTCTATTGAATGTTAGTAACAAAATTAATTTTATATTTACATACTATTTTATACCTATTTTGTTAATGTAAAGTATATATTTTCACATTAATTCTATTTTTCTAAAAAATAATTTTAAAGAATGCCCACCACTAATTGGTGTAAGAAATTGTTTACCTGAAATATTTTGTTTCCATATGTTTTCTCATTATAAATTATGCCACCATAAATATTTCATACATAAAACTGTACACATTACTGACCATCTTTGAGCATTATGGAAGAGCTTACCTTTTCCATATAATACAATCTCTTCCTCTGTCACATAATAAAACAAGTGATTATTTTCCAGGTAACTAGAATTGACTTTCTCAATCCAAAGGTGACCATAGGATTCTGAATTTCTCTTTAGAAATGTGATAGCAGCTTACAAAAAAATGCATGGAATTACCTATAGTCATTAGCACAGTTCTTTATAAACATATTGACTTGTCGGAAAAGTCATGATGCATGTTTGCAACAGATGGACTAGTTCATTTTTGGAAGTACTAGAGTCATTCGCATCTATTTTATTGCTTTGTTATTTGACAGCTGACAGTTCTAGCTTCATTCTAAAAACAAATTGAGCAATTTGGTTGAGTTTTGGAGATTTTACAACAAGTTAAAGATTGGAGACCAAATTGTGCATTTTTGCCATATTTTATTGTTTTACTTCCATAAAGGGAAGAACGTGCATCAAGCTTGTGGATAGTTGCATAAAGTTTATGGTGACAATGCTCTACAAGAACATCAGTGCCAAGAATGGTTCACAAAATTCCGTGCTGGTGATTTTGACGCTCCTGGGTCAGGGAGGCCCACCGAGATTAATGATGGCAAAATAAATGCATTGATCAAGTCAAACCCACATTACACAACACGAGAGATTGCAGAAACATTGAACATCCATCATTCAAGCATTCACGACCACTTGAAGAAGCTGGGATACGTAAGCAAGCTCGATATTTGGGTTCCTCATGAACTCAAAGAAGTTCATTTGATGGCGCGTATAAACATCTGCAATATGCTCATTAAACATGAGGAAAACGATCCTTTTTTGTAGCAACTGATAACTGGTGATGAGAAGTGGATTGTTTACATCAATGTGATGGGCAAACGATCTTGGTCTCAATGTGATGATTCGCTTCAAACGACATTGAAAGCAGACATTTCATCAGGAAGGTTATGCTCTCAGTGTGGTGGGATTTTAAATGTGTTGTGTTTTTCGAGTTCCTACCAAGAAACCAAACAAATCAACTCGAATGTGTATTGTCAGCAATTAGAGAGTTTGAACGAATCCATCACCCAGAAACCTCCAGAGCTTGTTAATTGTAAAGGAGTTGTGTTTCATCGTGACAAGGCAAGACCACACACAAGTTTGATCACCTGTCAAAAATGATTGGAGCTTGGATGGGATGTGTTGCCACACCCTCCATACTCACCTGACCTGCACTGTCAGACTTCCACTTGTTTCACTCTCTTGAAAACTCCTTGCATGGTATAATGTTCAATTCACATGAATCTGTAAATCAGCACCTTGTTCAGTTTTTCGCAAATAAAGACAGGTCCTTTTATGAATAAGGAATTATAAAGCTTACTGAAAGATGGCAAAAGGTTATCAAACAAAATGGGCAATATATCATTCATTGATCTTTGCTCTTTATATAAACAAATGATCTTTGAAAAACATAGACAAAATATGTCATGACTTTTCCGACAACCCAATATTTCAGTGTCTGATTTTCCATGTAAAATGTGTACTTAGCTGTTTTAATTTGCATGGTTAAGAAATAGTGACTTTTAATATTTTTCCTGAGGCATTTGTCTAGTGCATTTGAGAACTAACTATTTATACTTTATCCATTTTTTTCTTT